GTAAGAACAGTTTTTAAAGTTTTGAAGAAATGCAGAAATTGCTTTGTTCAAATAATCATGCAGGCATCTTAATGCTTGGCAAAGCTGGGTCAGGGAAGGAAATATCTCAAGATTAGGGTAGAGTAGAGTAGAGTAGAGTAGAGTTGAAAGAGGAAGCTAGATTGCTTATTCCTACTCATTTCCATGCTACTGGTTACTCAAACAAAGCTATTCCATTCCTCCACAGGCAACATAGTTGTAATTAAAGTACTAGGCTAGGATTAGGAAAAGACATGTTCAAAACCCCATTGAGCCATGATGCTTAGTGGCTGATCTTTCCCAGTGGGTATGATCTTTCACTTAGGCACACTAAATTTTATGTTGAGGGAGATGAATAAAGCAAGGTTTCCAATTAGTGAACTACTGTAGTTATGTTCAAAGAAAGGAGCTTTTCTGCAGACTTCCAATGTCAAGATATGGAAGATGGGGAAGAATGACTTCATATACAGAATTTTTAAACATTTAATGAGAACTTATATTTCAGTCCAACCTATTTTATAGACAAGGGAAGTAAAAGAACCATGAGTGAGTGCTTTCTTGACTGCCTCAGACTTGTATCATTTTGAATAGCCCTTAAAAAGCAATACATATTCATGCAGTGTCCTAGAGCCATTGTAACCTAATGTCATTAATATTTTATTTCTTGGACTCATCACTTAAAATCAGTGCACAAGGATGAAATAGGAAAGATAATATTTTCCTTGAAAAAAGGGCCTTTTTAGAATACTTTTTTTCATTCCAGCTAGAGTTTCTACCTGTAAAAGTGATCTTTGTAGCAGTAAAATGCACTTTAATCTCCCCATCTTGCCAATAACATTTTGTGACTTTGCTATGAGTTTGTGGTTGTTAAGATAGAAACAAGTCTTTTCAACTTAGTTCAAGAACCCCAGTTTAACCATCAATTCCAGAGAGTTTTTCATTTGTTTTGTATAACATTTGTTTTAATCTTTTAAAATGGTAAAATGTCTTGCAGAAATGCAGCATGGAAACATAATGATTGAATACTGCACTCCTTGGGCATAATACTAGGAATATTCTCACAGAGCATATGAATTTCTCCTGATGCTTTTTGTGTGAACAAGGAGTCTGGAAGAATATCAGAGGATCCTTTTGCCACTTTTCTCCCTCCTCTCCTCCAATTATAAATGAATCAATTTAACATTCTTTTATAGTTTTGTTGGAGTATTTGAATGACCTGTTTTTCTCTATCTTAGGAGTGGTTAACTACTAACACAATTAGACTTGGATATACATTAAGGCCAAAGGGCTCTCCAGAGAGTTTGTATCCAACTGAGAATTTCACTTAAAGTGCTTTTCTGAAATAATTTCTCTTGGCATTTCTCAATTTCTTTATCACTTGTCATGCTGTTTATTCCCAGTTATAAGACATGTCAGAGTGAATGCACACATTTTCAAATGTGCTAAATGAAAGCAATGTTGGTGAATGCTTTATGTCTAGTGCACATGCTCTCAACTGTTTCTACATTAGCAGGCACCAGGCACTATTGTCACAAGATGAGTGCTTTATAGTCCAATACAAGGTATTTTCCAATTGTGTCTGGACTACAACTTCCACCATCTCCAATAGGTATGGGTGCCATACTGGCTCAAATGTTTGACAAATCTGAAAGGTGCCAGATTGTAGAAGACTGATCTAGAGCTTTATTACAGGATGTATTCATGGCACTAGGTTGAAGCTGCCATAAGAGTGATTGAAAAGTTAGGTAACCTTATAAATTTCTAAATAAATAAATACAGATCAGGATAAAATATATGAAATCACAAGGCATCTGCTTTGGAGAGTAGAATTTTACTGTATCATCACACTTACCTTATATCGCTTTTTACACCCAGGAACAGGACAAGCAAAAGGTTTCTCATCTCCTCCATTCATACACATGGAACTTAGTATAGCTTCAGAACTGATGGCACTTTCTGTAGTCCAAGACTCATCACTATCTGAATCTTCATAGTCTACTTCTTCTTCATCATATTCACTACCTAAGAAAACAGAGCAGTGACATAAAGAATTAATACAAGTAAACTAAAACATGCTCTGGTAGCTGAAAATGCAAAGGGTCTGCAAGCTCTAGTAATAAAAATCAAGGAGTACAGTGAAAAATGGAACTAAAATTAAATATGAAGAAGACCAAACTAATAAAAACAAGTACAACAACCAGCCTTAGAACTGACAGTGAAGATACTGAAGTCGTAAATGGCTTCTGCCTTTTAGGATCAACTAACAACAGTAAAGAAATAAACAGTCAAAAATATACTATAGATTAGCCCTTGGTAGAACAGCCATGAAAGGCTTTGGAAAATTCAGGTGCCATATGTCTATACCTACAAAGATCAAAATAGTGCAAGCAATGGCATTCCCTGTGAAGTGAAAGTTGGATGTTGCAGAAGCAGAATAGAAAATGTATTGACACTTTTGAAGTTTGGTATTATAGAAGACTCCTGAGAATACCACAGACAGCTAAGAAAACAAACAAACGGATCATTGAACAAATCAACCCAGAGTCCTCACTCAAGGCACAAATGACTAGGCTCAAATTATCATACTTGGAACACATTATGGGAAGATCTAGCTCTCTGGAGAAGGCTCTAATACTGGGAAAAGTGAAAGGAAAGAGAAGAAGAGGACAGCCAAGCAAGGTAGATGTACTCAGTTTCAGTGGTCATGAGTGTACCACTGGAAGACCTGAAGGACCAGGTCAGGGACAGATTGTCATGGAGAAAATCTATTTACGTGGTTGCTAAGAGTCAACACTGACCTGACACATAATCAAAGGCATATTTCATCTTACTGGTATCTATTTTTCTCTGCTTTATTTCCCTACCTATATGACTAATAGATTAGTATTTTAATTATAAGATGTTTCTCATTACAGCGAGGACACACAATGATTCATTGGTTAAATAATTGCTGCAATATATTGCACAAACCACTTAAAAGCTTCACTTTAAATACTGATGGCCAGAAAACAAACAAATGGATCATTAGGGAAAGGGAGAGAGTAGGACTGAATATTTTTCCTCCTTCCCTCTGCATCAAAACCTAAGCAGACTTTTAAGGTTCTTCCTTTTCCCAGTAAAACAGCTGAAAGGGGTAATTCTCTAGATCATAAACAGTCTAGAATAATATGCTGACAACCCTTAATGCATTTAGTGCCCTCTGGAATTAACAGATAATGTAGCACAACACTAATTAGAATTACATTGTAGCAATATGTCTGGGTGTGAGAATAAATTGCATTATACCCAGCCCTAATTCAGCACTATGTTGCTAAAGGGCAGCAATTGTCTGCAGAATATGTGGCAAGCTTTTTAATTTTATTTTTTAAAGTGGTCATAAATATTAATAAGTCTCTGTGTGAGGTGCCCATTACAAAGGACACTAAGAGCACTGAGAAAGCAGACTTTCAGTAGCTGCAACAGGTGTATGTAGCAGCAGTTCTTAAAGGCATTTCTGTGACATAAGAAAAAAATAATTTTAACAAGTTTGTAAGTTGGCAAGGACTAATGTCATTGCAGAATATTTCTGTCCCATAAACCATGTATTCACTGAGCCTCCAAACCTTTCAATCAACATTAATCTTATGCAAGGGCAAAGGGCATAAGGAATGGTCTTGAAGAAGGCAACGAACAGATAAGCGGGGCTTGAGCCTGTGCCAAGAAACTAATTTGAGAAACATGAAGATAAAGTGAGGGAGAGGGGAAGCACATTCAGATTTGCAAGATTCTGTTACTATAACTGTTAAAATAAAAGTAGTCCTGACCTATGTGGCATTGGCCTCTTAGTCTGGTCTACCCTGCACAGCTGACAGTGAACTATTTGCTCAATAGACATACAAAGCAGAAAAAAAGTTCTAATGCAATGGAAGCAGAACAGCTGTTCTGTGAAACCATAAATTTGAAAATCAGTTCAGCCTTAAAGACCCATCTTCCATCTCTCTGGAAAATGATTCTCTACTCTTTTCTTGTCAATATTAGCTGTTAATAGTCTAAAAACAGTACTGTCTCCATACATTGTTTCTTTTAACTGGGGTTTGTTGAAGCCATAGGGACCTGGTTCACACTAAGTCAAATTGGATGTGTTTAAATGCTAGTCAGCCAAACCAAGGTAAGCTGATGCGTGACCTCCAGAAACGAATGACACATGCAGACCTTGCTTATGTCTACCATCTCTCTAATAACTATAGTTTGCAAATCTACAAACCAAGAATTCAAATTTTGAATTTCTGATTAGCGCTAGCAGACCATGGGGTTGTTTAACAACAATCCTGTGAAATAGGTTTGGCTAAGAATATGACTGCTGTAGTCCAAAACTATGAAGTGAAGTCTGTGGTCAAGTGGAAACCTGAACTTGGGTTTCTCTGGTGAAGTTTAATGGCTTCACCACTACTCTACAATTGGCTCTTGAAAACTCTTGCAGGCAGGTGAACTAATAGGCAAACTGGTTCCTTTAAAATGTTTTAGACTATATGTCCATAAATCTCAATCAGTATGTCCAGGAGACAGGAATTTTATGGTCTAAAACATTTCAGTCTGCAGAATACCTTCTGTGCATGCTTTTGCTGGTGAAAACTTTACCAGCCAAGAAATCATATCGTGAGATGCATCCTAGGAATATATTTAGGACCAAGGTACAAAAGATAATGTAGAAGAGGGCATGCTACCACTAGCAAAATTCTGTTTGTCAGGACTAACTCTTTCAATCTGGAAAATTTTGTAATGCTGATCACTTGTCAGATGTGCCCCAAGATGTACATTAAGCTTTAAGAATATTCATGGCTAGTAATATTTGAGAGGATTAAGCTGTTAAATGAATCATCTCTCTTTAGGATTAGTGTACATAAAGGCATCCAAGGAATTATAAGCTACTTTCTTGTTTACACAAGCATGGAAAGTTGAGCTATGTTAGCATAACCATTATTCACAACATCCTTTCAATGAGTTTTTCTTTACTATTAGTTACATAACCCACCTGATCAAATCAAATCTTTATTATTGTCATAGACCAGCATAAACAACCCACTTGAACCATGAGTGAAGCAATATAATTAACAAACTTCTCCAACTCAAAGTTAATGTTTACAATAGTCAGGAAAAAATATGTTTACCAAAGCAGCCTTTCCTTGACTTGACTAAGAATTCTAGTAGCCTTAGCATCTAGAGCAGTGGATGTGTGGACTTCATGCTCTCTGGGGAATTCTGGGAGTTGAAGTCCACACATTGTAAAGTTGCCAAGGTTGAGAAACACTGATCTAGAGGGGACCAAGTTGGGGAAAGCTGAGCTAGACTATTCATCTGCTTTGTGGCTGGAGTCTGTTGACAGATTGATTTCCAGTCTGTATGAAATTTTTGTTGAACTCATTTCTTCCTTCCTTGGGTGAAATGTTTTAAATTGAATATTTTTATTAAAGACACTGCAGATGTTTTCATCAATGGCAGGCAAAAAGTTATTGTATCAGGTGCACAACTATAGATCTATCAGCTGGTTTGTTTTATTTGCTGAAGAAAAGGTATATTTTTGTGGCAAAATGCCAAAAGAAAATATTTTTGCCAAGATGGATACATTTGGCCTTTGCTTTTTGGTTTAGTTTTGCTTTCTTTACAATAATTGAAAAGAAGATGAGCAACAAATATGAACACCAACCTGCCAAGTCAAATTCAACATTCTTTCAATCAAACTTTTATATGGTTTAACAGAAAAACAAACTGCTGCCAACATTACAATGTGCTTTCTCTACAGACATCTGACTGTCAAGCAGGGCTGTTGCTGTTGGACCATATTAGCAATCTCAATCATTTTTTAAAAAATATTGGACCACAACTAATTAAGTTTCAAAGAAATTTCATTGCATAAAAATCATATAAAACTGGCAGAAATAGATGTTTCACATTTTGGTAAGGAGGGCGTAGGTTGATGGCACAGGTTCTAGTAAAATGTTTAAATAAATGCACACCTACTTGCTGAAAATAGTCCAAAGAGACTTTTGTGATATTTCAGTGAAACATCTGACCTTCTTCCATTCCCTTTAAATAGGTGCACCCACACTGTATCACAACATGATTTTGACTTTCCCCTTAAAACCAATCACGGTGCAGGGAGAAAGCTTTTCTAAAAAGATAAAGAAATCCAAAGCCCACAATAGTTCACCAAACTAGTTTTATGTGTCAATAATTAGTCATCTTTAAAAATCAGCAGTTATATGTTAAAAAACACTTCCCCTTCAATTGTTCTTATCATGCCACTTCCTTTCTTTGAATATATCTGAAGATTAATTTCTCCACTGGATGATTCAAACTTCTTGCTATTTCTTTCATGACTGTTATGTCCACTTTAGCTTAAACATCTTGGCTTAATTTTGGATTAAATGGAGTTCACTTTTAAACAAGGATGCAGTCTTACAGAAATTCCCTTTAAATTTGGATAGGCTCTTAAAATCCCAATTCACACTTTATCGTAGTGGTGCCTGTATGTTCATAAAAATACTTTTTCATTTAAAACAATACATGTATATTGGAACAACACATTTGAGATAAAATAAATCAATTTTGCAATGGTATTTTCATTATTATTTACTATAAGCTCTAGTGAACTTGCAGAGTGCAATGGATGCTAAAGCGTTAGCTTCCTTTTCTTTGGCAAGATGAAAAGGCAGTAACTCATCCTGGGTAATGGGAGTTGAGATTTGTGTCTGAAGCAGAGACAACTCTGTCTGAAAGTGTGTGTGTGTTTGTGTGTGTGTGTTTTGGTGTGTTTCCATTAAGCCTGTAAGAGTAATTACAAAAGATGACTATATTTCATGTTTGGGTAAATGGGGATTGCTCTTTTCATTGATTTTGTCTGTAGAACTATTCTCCAGGATATTACTCAGAATGAAGGTCCACTTTGAGAATGAACAAAACATTTTACTCAGTCTAACTTGTTCACTCTCTTATGCACTACATTACTTCCAAGACTATTGGGTATCTGTTCAATATCATGCTGG